CGTCTCTCTCAGCGACTAGAACGGCACTAAGGGCATGATCAGAGACGGCTAAGTACATGTACAGAACCTCCCGGGGTAGGGGGCTCACTAGCCTTGGCAAAGAATGCAAGTGATGCTTAAGCCTCTGGAATGCCGCCTCTGCTTCTTCACCCCATTCAAACCTTGACCTCTTCCTGATTGCCTGGAAGAAATAGAGGCACTTGTCACCTGACCGGCTGAGGAACCTCCCCAATGCCGCCAGGCAACCGGTCAACTTCTGGACCTCTTTTACAGTGCGGGGAGATTTCATGTCAATTACCGCCTGTATTTTTTCCGGATTAGCTTCAATGCCTCTTTGGTCAATCAAGAATCCGAGAAACTTCCCAGACTCAACACCAAATACGCATTTCTTTGGGTTAAGCATGACCCGGTGCCGCCTGAGTGTGGTGAAGGTTTCTCGCAGGTCTGTTAGGTGATCCGTCTGTAGCTTGGATTTGACTATCATGTCATCGATATACGCCTCTACATTCCTGCCAATCTGGTTGATAAAAACAGTGTTTATCATGCGCTGGAATGTAGCCGGTGCATTCTTCAACCCAAACGACATCACCGTATAGCAGAATAACCCCTGATCAGTGACGAAAGCCGTCTTCTCCTGATCTTTCTTCCAGAGGGGTATTTGATGGAAGCCGGAATAGGCATCCATAAAGCTCATTAGCGCATGGCCGGCTGTTGAGTCGACTAGGCTGTCGATCTTTGGAAGCGGGTAGCTATCTTTTGGGCATGCTTTGTTCAGATCTGTGTAATCCACACACATCCGCCAAGTACCGTTCGGCTTCTTTACTAGAACGACATTTGCCACCCAATCCGGGTAGTAGCATTGCCTAATGAACCCAGCATCCAACAGCTTTTTGACCTCAGCCGCTGCCGCTTGAGATCTTTCTCCACCATGATCCCTCTTTTTCTGCCTAACCGGCTGCTTTTTGGGATCTACGGCTAGCTTGTGGACAGCAAGATCCGGGCTGACGCCTGGCATCTCTTCCACTTCAAAGGCAAAGATGTCTTTGAATTCCTTCAGCAGCTGGAGCAAACCTTCTCCCAACCGTTCGAAAGCTACCGTCCCGACCTTGACTGTTCTTTCGGGACGGCTGTCATCTAGGATGACATCAAGGCAGTCACCAGCCGGCTGAGGTCGTTGGTCATCTGACCTTTCACCGGCTAGTGATTGCTATTTCTCCTGTTTGACGGGTTCCAATTGGTCCGCCTTTCTTTTCTTACCGGCTGCCCTTGGAGCCGGGACTGCTGGGTCGCAGTTATTAATATCTATGGGCTCACCCTTGCCGGCTGCACCCATAGTTGTCTTGACATCAGAGAGATAGCACTCTCTGGCCGTCTTCTGGTCCCCGCTTAGGGCACCGACTGTACCATCATCCTTTTGAAACTTGACCAACATGAGGGACGGGATGATGACAGCCTTAGATGCGTTGAGGGTAGGACGGCCAAATATCATGTTGTAGGCGGACAACTCCTCCACAACCAAAAACCTGACTACCATGTGGCGTCCTTGCCCCTTTTCACCCAGCCGGATCGGAAGATCTATGCTTCCGACCGGATGCACTACTCCACCCCCAAAACCAACTAGTGGGTGAGGAGCCTGGTGCATGGTACCGGATGTGTACTTGAGCTTGGTCAAGCACTGATAACTGATCAAGTCAGACAAGCTCCCGGTGTCTATTAGGATCCGGCCAACCTTCTGGTTAGCAACCTTGCATTCGACGACGATGGGGTCATCATGAGGCCGCCTGACCTTGCCCCGGTCCTTTTCAGAAATAAGGACCTCAGGAAAGATGTCTTTCGACGCCTGGCCCTCATCCACTGAGTTGACCAGCTTCCTGATGTTGTCTTTGGTGCCCCGGATGGTAGGACCCCCTCCGACAAAACCGCCTGCTATTGTGAAGATGGTCTCTTCATCCGTCTCGGAGTTTACTGGGCCGGTTTTTGCCGCCTGCCCTTTCTTGGCCTGGGTATTACCCTTAGCCTTGGGTAGGTAGGATTTTAGGGCCCCCTCATCTGCCAGACGGTCCAATAGCCGCCTGAGGCTATAGCAGCCATTGGTGTCGTGGCCGACATCCTCGTGGTATTGGCAATACTTGCTCTTGTCCCGTTTATTCACGGGGCTTTTCATTTCAGCCGGTTTGTCGAGAGACATCCGGTCTTTGATTTCCAGGAGGATGGTGGACCAATCTTTTGCGAACTCGTATTTGGGGACATACGGTTCTGACTTCCGCCTGATCTTCTGGGCCGGCTGTCCTGATCGGTCAGCTGCCCAGACCCCTTTTCTCTTCTCTTCCTTTCTTGCCGGCTGATGCTGTTGCCGGCTCTCTTTTTTGTCAGACTTTTTAGAATCTGACGGCTGCTTGACAGCACAAAGCTCCGTCGCCTGTATATAGGCTTCACTTTCAATTAACGCCTCTTGGAGGGTAGCAACCCTCTTCCGGACGAGGTCAAACTTAAAGGTCGACCCATCCTTCAGACCTCGAAAGAAGTCTGTATAGGCCACTTCGTCTGATAATCCTGGAATTTGAATTCTCATCAGATTGAACCGTCTGACGTATGACCGGAGGCCCTCCCGGTCGCCCTGCTGTATTGCCCCTAGGTCGAGGCTAGTCTTTTTGGCAGGAATATTCATTGAGAAATTTGACGTAAACAAGTACGCCAAAGTTCGAAAGCTGTTGATGCAACCGGCTGGTAGGTTACCAAACCACCGCTGGGCTATGCCCTTGAGGGTAGCCGGGAAGCATCGACACCAGACGACATCATCTAACCCCTGAAGGTACATGAGGTTAGAGTAGGCCATTAGATGGTCTTCTGGGTTGGTGGTGCCGTCATAGGCCCCCACCAAAACATTCTTGATCTTAGGCGGCTGTGCCGCCTGGGTTATCTCGGGTGAGAACGCCGTTGGCTGTTCCCCCAAATTTAGCAGGCGCAGCTGCCAGTCCGTGGGTTGGTACGGCTGCTGCGCTTGCCCACCGAAAAGACCCGGTGACATAAAAGGGGATCCACCCAACCCATTCGGTGTGCCGAATAGGCCAGGCTGGATCACTTTGGGTCCAGACCGGGCAGAAGCTTCGCCCGTCTGGCTCCCAGGATTCGTTCCCGTACGCCTGTGTGAGACGTCATGGAAACTGTCCGGGAAGGTCGACGTTGAGGCCGACGCAGACGCCTGACCTCGCTTCTCTTGGAGAAATGTGCGGGCGTCTTAGAATGTTTTCTTGGAGCCGTCCGGCTGTACGTGCCGGATGGCCTTTCGCAGCTCCCCTTGAGGAAAACGGAGTCTGCTCGGGTCAAACCTTAGGCCCTCCCCCTCCTTTGGCTTTGGGTGAGGGGTAGGAACTCGTTCTTTGACCGCCTTTTTTCCAGAAGGCTTCTTGGCCGGCTGACCCTTCTTTGGAGTAGCTGACCGGATGAGGCTCTTGATCTCACCCTTGAAACTATTCATGAATGACATGAGTTCGTTTCTTGTAACGGGAGCTGAGCCCTCCACCGTCTGGGTAATTCCAGCCGGTTGCCCGGCTGGGTTGCTGGGAGCAGCTTGGCTGATTTCCCGTTCTCTTTTATCTTTAGCACGAGTGTGCTTCGTTCTGAAGGACCCATCCGGGGCCACATATGTTTCAATTTCGTCTCCACTTTCATGGTCCGTCTGGACCTCAGGCTCGACCACAGGCCGTTTGCCCTGATTCGGTGACACAGTATCAGAAGTCATCTTAGAAGTACTCTCCCCACAGACGGCGCCAAATGTTTCGGGGGTTTTTTTATGTGTCCTTCGGGAGAGTTACAATTCCAAGAATGCCCTTCGACGCCTGTGCCTGCAAAATCACGAAGACTCCTGGGGGTAGGAGCTCCGCCTCCGACGATCAAGTTAGTAAAGATACAGGAGGTAGAATGCACGTAATGTTGAAGTTACTTCTCGCGTAATGGGAGAATTCCGCAATTAATATTGCTCGGGGTAGGTGTTTGTTTTTATGAGGAGTATTCAATGTGAGTAATGAAATGTTCCAGCCCCCATTAATGAGGGTCCTTCCACTATTTATAGTGGGGAAGGGATGGTTCCCCTTTTAGGGTTTAGAGGACACGTGTCAGCAGAGGATTGGAGCCCTGCTGACCAACGGCTGGGTGCCACGTGTCACTAGGCCATTGGGCCACGTGTTTAGGGTATTTTTACCCCAAACAGTAAGTATTCAAAACCTCGGATTAAATCCTTTTCGGCTTTATATACCGGGTATCTCATTTACTTTTTTTTTTGGGTTTTTTTCACACAACAATCCAAATTGTGAACAAGCTTGTGGGCCTTTGAACAAATAATATTTGGTTCCCATCAAACACAACCAAATATCAAACACAACCAAATATCAAACCATAAAAAAAATCAAAAAACCAAACTAGGGATGCAATCGAGCGAGTCGTTCACGAGCTAAGGGGTGCTCGACTCGACTCAAAAACTTTTTTCATGTGCTCAACTCGTGCTCATTAATGTTTCGAGCCAATAAACCTTCTCGACTCGTGCTCGTCAAAGTTTCAAGTTGAGTCGAGTAGTTCACGATCTGCTCGTTAAAGTTTTGCCCTTCTAAAATTCTAGGCCTTTATTGTTTTTTTTTTCCACTTTATATAGTTTTCTTTTATTTTTTTTTATTAATTATTAAAGGTTTACTCTTTCTTTTTTGATAATATTAATTAACTCTTATTAAGTGTCAAATTTGTTCATGGTAATAACTATGTTTGTAAATTCTATATTAATAAAATACATTATCGAGTTGCTCACGAGCTTATCGAGTCGAGTTAGAGCTTGCTCAACTCGTGATCGTTAACATATTGAGTCGAATCGATTTCGAGTTGGGCCAACTCGAGCCGAGTTTTGACCGAGTTGAGTCCGGGTTGCTGACAAGCTACTCAACTCGATTATCACCCAAACCCAAACCAGAACAAAACATTAAAAAAAAAAAACAAAAAAAACCGCAACACATTTTTCAACAAAATTCAAACTCAAAAACATAAAAAATTAAAAACACTCTCTTTCCCGCTCACCTCTAAAATTTCACTTTTTTTTTTCTTTCATCTCTTTCTCTCTCCTCTTATTTTCCGCCTTCTTCAAAATCAAAACTTCCCCAAAAAATCCAAATTCAAAAACCCTAAAATAAAAAATCAATTAAAATTAATCAATGTCGTCATCATCAACTCGGCGGATCAAAGAAAGGGGAGGATCTGTCGGAAAGATTGCATCTTCAATACCCAATAAAACCCTAACCCCAATTTCTGAAAAACCCTCATTAGCTACCAGTGGAAGGAAATCAATCGGCAAGGAAAACCCTAACCCTAGATCGGTTTCTAGGGTTTCCGGCGGAGCTCAGAAGCCTGTGATTCGGTCAATGCCAAGAGTTTCTGATGTCGAAACACGGTCTCGATCTCGAGGTAGGAGGAGTCCTAGCCCTAACCCTAACCCTAATTCTAACCCCTCTGATTTTACTAGAGTTTTGTCTGATATGCGGAAAACTAGGGTTGCTAGTGGTAGTGATTCTGCTAGAAGGGGTGAGATTTCTGGGTTGAAGGGGGTTAGTGGGTTTAAAGTTCTGGATAAAAAGGGGTTTAGGGATTTGAATCAGAAAATTAGTGGAAGTAGGGTTTCTATTGATGGGAAGGAAGTTACAAATGTTGGAAAAATTAGTGGTAGAAAAGATGATAATATATCTTCTGTTCATTCTGTAAAGGTAAATGTTAATAATTTAAGTGATGGGTGTGTTAATGAGGGTAATAAAGTTCAAGGATTCGATCCCTGTGAATCGAAAAATGTGAATCAAATTGTCGATTTGAAGAGTAATGTTGGTTGTTCTAATATGGAGAAAAGTGTGAGAGTCTCGAGTGCTTCGAAGGGTGTGGATGTTAGTAAAGAGAAGGGCGTGATTGAGGAGGGGATGAGTGGGCGTGTTGCGAACAAGCACGCTAGTAAGCTGCACGAGAAGCTTGCGTATTTGGAAGGGAAGGTGAAGAGAATTGCTACTGATATAAAGAAGACAAAGGAGATGCTTGATATGAACAATACCGATGCGTCTAAGGTTATACTTTCGGATATTCAGGAGAAGATTTCGGGTATTGAGAAAGCCATGGGCAATGTGATGAGTGATTCTAAATCACATGGAACTGCTGATAGTTCTAGTAATTCGGATAATTTAAAGAACACTGAAATTGATAGCTTACACGGAATAAAAGAGGAGAATCAAAATGTGCAAGGTGATTCTTCAAAAGTATCAGTGAAAAGCTTGAGTTGTGAAGAGCTAGAAGCTAGGCTTTTCCCTCATCACAAATTTTTACGAAATCGGACTACACTGAAAGTGGCAGATTATGGCTCTCAAAGTGATGGAACCCATGTTTTAGAAACCAATAATGAATCTAATTCCAAAGATGACGCAGAGTGTCCTATGGATGAGGATCCAATAGCAATGGAGTTCTTGGCTTCCTTAACTAAGACACAGTCTAAGGTTGATATGAAAGATGTAGAAGCTATTTTGGATGCTAATAAAGTCCATGAAGCAGATGATGCTGAAACTTCAACAGCACGACGGAGTTCAGGTGTATTGGGTGGAAAAAGTACTGCTGAAGTAGATTTGGAAGCTGATGAGACACTTGACGAATTTGATGATCAAGAGAATAAGCAAAAAATGATAGTTGATGAAGAGATGGATGATAATTCCATTTCTCAGCTGATTGAAATTGGGCGCAAGACTTCTACTGGAGGATGGTTTGTATCGGAGGGAGAATCAGTTCTTCTAGCTCATGATGATGGTTCATGTTCTTTCTATGATATTGCGAACCATGAGGTATGCTTTTAATTACAATTTTTGAATTCTGATAGCATTTCAATTTGAATTTTGCCTGTTACATTAGTGTCTTTGGGAGATGCAAATTACTTGTGATAACATACTGCATTACTGCAGCATATAGTCAAAGTGCACTCGCTTCTTGTTGAGTCTTTATGGCTTTCAGTAATATGAGACGTTAATTTATCATCAATTTTCCAGGAGAAAGCTGAATACAGGCCACCAGCAGGAATTTCAGAAAACATATGGAGGGACTGTTGGATAATTCGCGCCCCTAGTGCTGATGGTTGCTCTGGAAAGTATGTGGTGGCTGCTTCTGCAGGAAATACTATGGACTCAGGGTTCTGTTCATGGGACTTTTATACCAAAGATGTGCGAGCTTTCCACATTGAGGATAACACTACCAGCCCAAGAGTAGCTCTTGGTCGGTTACGTGATAACATTATGTACAGAAGGAATGCTCCATCTAATATCATGTCCTCTGAAAATCTCCAATGGTGGTATAGACCCTGTGGACCTTTAATTATCTCCACTGCTAGTTGTCAGAAAGCTGTTAAAGTATTTGACATCCGTGATGGCGAGCAAATTATGAAGTGGGATGTTCAAAAGCCTGTGCTACCAATGGATTATTCTAGTCCATTGCAGTGGAGAAATAGAGGAAAAGCTGTTATAGCAGAAGCAGATGCTATATCTCTGTGGGATGTCAACTCATTAAATCCTCGAGCATTGTTATCTGTTTCAACCTCAGGTCGCAGGATTTCAGCTCTTCATGTGAATAATACTGATGCTGAGTTGGGTGGAGGAGTCCGACAAAGGTTAGTATCTCCCTCATTATATGAACAATTCCTGCTTCTTATACACGTCTATAATGTCATCTCCTGTTTGGTGATGCTTGTTGATTATACATTACTGACTTGGTGCCATGAAAATTACGGAATATGCCTTACTGTTCAAATCAGTGGATTTATGGATATAATCATTTTTAACTGCAATAAACTCATCCTGGCAATGCAATGATTTAAAATTTGCGAAAATTAATGAGTATCTTCTATGTTTCTGCTGGTGCGTGTGTTTTTTGGGGGAAAGGGTGTGTTGCCGAAAATATAGTGGGATAAGCAAAATCATCTGAAACTAATTATCAGATATAAGATCATAAGAGCATATGATAGTTTTCCTGTGTTGAAATTGGTTGCTGTTTGATGTGCAGAGCAAGTTCATCAGAAGCAGAAGGAAATGATGGTGTCTTCTGCACTGCTGATTCCATTAATGTCCTTGACTTCCGTCAGCCATCTGGTATCGGACTTAAGATACCTAGGATTGGTGTAACTGTTCAATCTGTCTCTTCCCGAGGAGATTCCGTGTTTCTTGGCTGTAGTAGTGTTGTCTCAGCGGTAAAGAAGCAGGTGAATTCACAGGTGCAACAATTCTCTTTACGGAAGCAGAAGATAGTGAACACCTATACATTACCTGAATCCAATGCTCATTCCCATCACAAAGCGCTGACCCAAGTTTGGGGGAACGGAAACATGGTTATGGCCGTTTGTGGACTTGGGTTGTTTGTTTTTGATGCTTTGAAAGATGATGGGTTGCCTTCATTTGCTAGTGACTATAGTAGTCCGCAGAGTGCGAAGGAAATTATTGGCCCGGACGACTTGTATTCACCTTCATTTGATTGCCTCTCTTCCCAGGTTCTGCTTATATCAAGAGACCGTCCAGCAATGTGGAGGCAATTGTCGTAGATATGATGCTCATTATAAGCTAAGGAGCACCTCGCTCTTTTCATGTAAAATAAGTTAAGTGTTTTTTTGTTAATTATTGTGTGTTATAACTTATCAGTTTTTGAGTGGTTTTTTTTTTTATCAGTTGATTTGCTTGATATGTATAAATGAGATGCCGACCGTGATTTCTTGCGAGTTTCTCCATGGGCAAGTCTCTTGCTTTAGGCTTATATGTGTCCATCTTTTAAGATCTTCTCGATTATTCAATCGTGATCAATATTTCAGCTATATTCTACTCCCTCTGACCCTTAATGTTTGCCATGTACCTCTTTTTGTTTACTTTTTGTTAACATGTTTTTTCTTTTATTCAAAGTAGATTAGTATGAAAGTGTTAACTATTGAGCAGTGAGTAGAACTGAGTACCTGGCTGTGCTAATACATGCACCTTGTATCTTCGGACTAGTAAGTACTTGTATGTGTAAGAGTTCCAAGTGTGGCTGCCACCACCTTCGGGCATGGTTAAAGTAAATTGTGAAACTTCCTTGCTCGAGGATGGATGGGTGGGAGTCGGAGCTGTGGCGAAGAATGGAAATGGAAATGTATAGTTTGGTGCTACCAGGAAGATGCGGTGCATGATATTGCTGAAGGTAAGGCTGTCTTGAAATCTTGCTAACGGTTCGGTTAGCTCGCAGGTATGTGCTCCAATATGTAAGTGTATTTTTGTGGACTGATTATATTCTTGTTGATATTTTTTTTTTTTTTTATACTCGGTATTGCTTTGGTTTGATTGTTTGGTCTTATGTTAAAAGTGATGAGAATGTTGTACTCGTGTTTTTTTTTTTTAAGAAAATGTTGTACTCGTGTCTTATTTTCAGGATTTTTTTTCAAAGTGAGGTTTATTAACAAATAATTTTGTAAAGTAGATGCGTGGACAAATTATTTACCAAACTAAGCTTTCAGTGTAAAACGCTGTCTCGGATAGCATTTTATACCCTGTTTAATTAAATTTGTAAAATGCAGGACAGTGTTTTAAATGTTGACTTTCTTTTTTTTTTTTTTTTTTTTTTTTTTAAATTTCGTAATTTCTGATATTTAAAATGTTAAATAAAAAAAAATAAAATTCAAATACCCTAAAATGTCGACTGAGGCAGCAACAACTAATAGCCAACAACCTCTTCACTCCAAATTTAGCCCCCAACCCTCATTCAGCCACTACCCTCCACCAATCATTCAACCACCATCCTCCACCACTCATTCAGCCACCATCCTCCACCATCACCCTCCAACACCATCCCCACCACCAACCCCAACCTCAACCACCATCCCCACCGTCATTCACGATCCTCGACAACCTCCCCACTACCAACCATCACCTTCCGCCACTTTTGCCAACCCTTAGCCATTTCAAACCACTCAAACCACTCCCAACAACACTACAACCACCAGGAACCACCACATTAACCACGACTAGCCATCGCTTCTACCCCGTTTCTCATTATGGAGCCTAAATGTTTTGTGTTTGCTATAAATCGGCCTGGAATGATCCATTTTGACTGACATAAGTCCGATTCGGACAAATAAGGAAAATAAACTTTAAACCACACACAGATTTATTCAAAAAACATTTATTATGTTAATAATGTAAGTGTTATATACATTAAACCCGATTACAGTAAATAAATCACATAATACTATCGTGACTCATTTATTCGGGGTAACGGTTCTCTATCTTGTCTGTCTTCCCTTCGTCTTATACGACGCCGCCTGTAATGAGTAATGGTGGTAAATGGGTCTCGGGGTGGTGGCGGAGTCTGCTGGCTGGACGACGGGTCCTCCTGAGTAGGTGTGGACGCAGAACTATGGATGAGGTAATCCTCTGCGGCTCTGGGTGACGTAGGATCACCTCCATCGCTACTCTGGCCGGCCTCGAACTACAAATGGACAGAGTGGCCTCCATGACTGTCTCATTGGTGGACGAGATAGCTGTGACCATATATCTGCAAGGTAGCCACACCCATATCTCGCACCTGCTCCACCTGGGCTCTGGTGGGTCCATCTGCAAGGGCGCCTGATAGTGCATCAACCATCGTCACCATATTCGCCGCCTGCAATAATCATCGATTAGTCAGTTGTATGATACAAAAATTTAAAAATTGATGAAAATAAGTAAATTGAATAAGCCCACATATCAGCTAATGACGTCAAAGGTTGGATGGTAATTTGTGGGTGGTGGCGTGTAGCTGGAGTTGATGAAATGCCGTGTAAACCGCTTGTACCAGACCATGTATGGATCGTGAGGATCCATAACGCCTTGGATCGGATCACCGGCAACGACGAACTCCAACCGTCGCTGCCATAGGTCAATGTAACGCCCATGCTCCACTGGCCATTTTACCATTTTTTATTAAAAAAAAACTTTTTTTTTTTTACCATTTTAAAAAAAATCCGGATAACCCATTAACCCTAAGACCAAACTCACCTAAGTCCCTAATCAGTAATCCGCCTCTTTCTCTTTTTCTTCTATTTTCTCCCACCTCCCTCCTCTCTCATCTCAGATTCTCAGATCTCCTTCCTCCTCCTTTTCTCATCTCAGATTCTCATATCTCCCTCCTCCCTAGACCTCCCTCCTCTCTCATCTCAGATCTCCCTTTGCCCTCCTCTCAGATCTCCCTCTTCGTCTTTTGCTTTGTAGGTCGCTTGCGAAAATGGTGGTGATGGTGATGTTGCCGTATCGGAGGAGGAGCAGTCGATGACTTCACACAGTTATTCGGCGCCGAGTTTGGTGGTTTGTGAGATGAGAAAAGAGAGTTTGAGTACGGTTTGCCAGGTTTCGCAGGGGGAATTACGGCAGAGAATTTTCAGTAGTGGTGGAGATTTAATTCCGGTAATAGAGGTATCGGAAACCGAGGTGAATTCGAATTCGAGACCTAATCTTGTTAATGGGAAGTTGGTGAATTGCTCGCGAAGATTCGGTAGATCGAAGCTGGTTCTACGTTTTCTGAGCCTGAATCTCTTGTTTGTATGATTGTTTAGACTGAAGTTTAGATTTTGATTGTAATTGTGGTTTTTTATTGAATGTTTTGTTTGTATGATTGTTTAGACTGAAGTTTAGAATTTTAACTGCATTATAAAAAGGGTCTGATATTGGATATTCGAGTTATCCGATCCGAAAATTTCGGATATTCGGATATCATATATCCGAAATTTTCGGATCGGATATCGGATATCAAATATCTGGATTTTAGGATACGGATATCCGATCCGTGCTCATCCCTAGGTCCTGGCACACCACTCTGTCTAATGATCCAGCAGATGTGCAGGTATGACATCAACTAAGTCAGCTACATATGGATCTCATGTCATCTGTAAATAGGTTAGTGCATAGACAGTGTACAAATTAAATAAATGTTTACAAATTTCTTTTAAGTTACCACCTGATCCTCGGTGAGTCGGTCAAGGGCGTCTCGGTAGTACCAAAGACCCCTCGCCGCATGCGCATGTATCAGTTTGAGGACCACCCACCTAATACCAAAAAATGTTTTAGTTTGTCAAGTAGCAAAATAAAACCGCCATAGGTCTAAAATCATGACAACTGATACAAACCTGCAGTATGGCTCATCAGGTGTAGGGAGCGGTGGAGCAACGTACGCCTGGTAGTGCTCGTCTCGGTCCTGTTGCCCTTGACGATGTACAGCAGGCCTACCTGGTTTGCCTACATGGATGTGCTCCCAAGCCCATAACTGTAATACAAAAATACAAAACTAGGTTAAGTATAAATTAGGTAAGTAATTGCCAAACTAGATTGTTGATAATTAGGTGGGTTACTTGAAGCACAATCAACGGACCTCCGATCTTGCCAGAACCACGGTGGGATGCTCTACATAGCTGGCGCTACAACGTCAGCATACAGGAACTACCCCATCTGTAGCCACGGATATGATCCCAGTCGTGGTCTAACAACTGTAGGTAAATAAGATCCAGATGGCTCCCGCTTTTGTTGCCGAACAACATGCCTGAGATGAGTAGGAATAGGTATGCTCGAGCGTGTCTCTAAACTGTGGCGTCATCAGCGTCCGCAGGCAGCACACGAAAAGTCTTGCGTATCCAGCCGGTCCTCAACCCAGAGCCCCTTATATCATCGGGACCTGGCTGAACCCTGAGAACCCGAGCTACCAAACCACGGGGATTGACTAACGCGAGTCCTGTGACCGTAGTCTCGTGTATAGGAAGACGTATGAGTATTGCCACGTTCCGCAATGTAACGGTCGCCTCCCCAACAGGTAGATGGAAGGAGTGCGTCTCCTGTCTCCATCTCTCCGCGAGCGCAGTGACAAGTGCTCGATCAATCTCTCTGAACGCCATCCGATTAATACCGCCCAAACCAGCCAACTCGACGTACGGAATAATGCGTGGATCGACAACCCAGTCACCCATGTGTCTGGTAGTGTAGTTCCTGCAAACCAGCAACCCCGCTGTATCAACCTGATAAATAACCATACGACCGTAAATAATTGAAAATACTATATCAATTTAACATGCATACAAGTACATGAACTGACAGATGAAATATTATCGACTGATCCCATATGTCAACGCTTCGATGTTTGTCCTGTAGTGTCAGGACAGAAGGGTTAACAGGTTCGGTGTCCTATCTTGTCCGTCCATGATATATGTTCATTAACAACGTTATATTCTAATTTTCAACACAATTACTGGATTAGAAATTAAACACGAGCAAAATCTCAAGTTAAAGGCAACGACAAACAGTAAATTTCAAATGTTAAACTTCAAAATAGAAATGTTCTAAAAGTTATAAATGTTACACAAGTTATAAATTCAGAAACAAAATCAAGCTAGTAGTTTACTATAGCATTCTACAAATACAAAGTTAGGTCTCGGTCCATCTACATGGACATGTTCTCTGGTTGTGACCTTGCTGGTGACAGCGGTTGCATTTGCTCGGGGGGCGGTTACTATCATCCATTTCATTGCGTATGCACTTTGACTTTGGCCGACCTTGTCCTCGTACCATGCTGATGTCTGGAATGTGTTTAGGGCCGCTAAACTTTTCCCAGGTCGTCTCACAGGGGATAGGCCAGAGCTGTGGTGCATAGGTGTTCGTATAGGCCTCCGATTGCAACACACGGTCAAACCATGGCCGCTCTAATAGTGAATACTTCGCACAAACTGCTTGAACATGAGACTATGGAAGGTGCAATATCCGTGGTTTGTTGCATGTACACGTTCTTAACTGAAAGTTAACAGTATGTTTATGACCTCCTTTTCTACCAAGTCGCT